ATATATATATATATATATATGCTCCATTGTTAACGTTTCTTTAGCCATTTATCGCTGTATAGCAAGCCTACTGTGCAGTATTGAGCACCGTAGCACAGTCACGGAGACATCTGATAAAAGCCACTTCCTTTTTGTTTTTTGTTTTTAATTTAGGTAGTACATCTAAAGCTCTTTCAGCCTTCAGCCAGCATCCGAATTGGCAGATCAGTTTAAGTGTTAAATGTAAAATGTCCCGTGGGAAACTGCTTAAAAAACCTAGCCCAAGTGCTTTCAAAAGACATGCAGGGTGTTCTGGGTTTTTTGTTTTTTGTTTTTTTGTTTGTCAGCAGTCCTAATTAAGAGCAGGTCTTTTCTCTGCGGGGGGTGGGGGGTGCACACACCATGCCCTCGGTCTGTGATGATGATGATAATGAAACTATGTAAGAAACCGTGCTGCTCATCTGCAAGAAACTAATTTTCTAATCAAGTCATTATTGCATTGCAACACACTGATTTATATTTGTTCCTCAAAGGCTTACATTAGCGCTTAATCATAAACATTCCAGCAAGTACAGCATGACAAGCCAAGTCCTGAAAGCTGTACTTTTTGTGAACCAGCTTTTTCTCTAAAGTTTTAAGGTGGATCCTGACAGAATTTTGTGACCACATTGAGATTAACACTAGTACACATACACACCACAGATAAAAATACAGGTGTACAGGTCATTACACTGACGGACAGTTGATGTAAACACAGTATGAATGACATCTGTGCAGTCTTGTTTAGTACACACATTTGCGCAGGCATAGCTAAAATGAAACTTGCTTTTCTGAATAAAAAACGGTCAGATAATATTTCAGGGGCTTTAGGAATTCAAGAAATCAGAAATACTATTTTGGAGTGTAAAAATATTATTTAATACTTTTATGCTGGTCTTACTGGCTGTTAGGTGTATACTTTAATTGTTGTCTATTACTACAATGTTTTGAGGTCCTTTATTGTATACATTACGACATTTTTAACATTGTATTTAAAGCACAGGAATCTTAAATTAATGTGTTGGATTTAATTTTTGTTACTTTGCATCTTTAATAATAATAATAATAATAATGGATTGCATTTATATAGCGCTTTTCAGGACCCTCAAAGCACTTTACAATACCACTATTCATTCACTCTCACATTCACACACTTTAGTAAGTGGTTTACAGCTGAAACTGCAGATTTGTTTAAAAATGTCTCTAATCATCTCCCTGTAGTGCAGCGTTTCACTGTGTGTGTTTTCTAATGCTCTTTCATCAGATTTTCACATTTTAGTTTACATGACAAGTACCAAAATTACTGCAAATTACTAGCACACACTGTTTGATATGTAACTGCTCGGCAAGCACAAACAAGTAACATTATCTTAAATGGTAAAATGTTATTACACAGTAACATTAACATAAACCATTATTCATTTATTCATGTAGAAAGCATTTCCACAAACAACACAAACTATATACACATTTACCGCAAATAGCAGCACATTGAGAAATATAGCGCATCTCTGTGGAATGTGTCCTATGATGCGTTCAGATTCATATTTCAGATGACTGACTACAACATACTACATATTCCGCAGAGATGCTGGAGCAATGTGCAACGTAGTACAGATGGGTAACTTCTCATTTCTTGGGCCTCACTGCACATGAGCACCAGCTGTGCGAGCAGTGCGTGTATGTGTGTGAAAAGAGACAATCTGACTATGGTGCAGCTGTGTACATGAACATGTGGGCTGGTTGGCATGGACTGCTTCAAAGGGTTTGTTTTTGTGTGTCTAAAAGGGCAAGGTGATGCAAGGCTGCAACGGACTGCAAAGTGTGTTTGTGAATGCATGTATTGTGAGGCAAACTAAATGACTGTGTGTGTCCGTGTGTGTGTTAGAGCAGGACATGCCATGGACCGATTAATGAGCTCACACTGTCATACACACATTCTGCGCAGGGGGTTTAAGTATTCCCAGTGTCTGGCATGACTGCTCTCATTTGTTATTACAGAGTGATTCTGTGGAAATTATCTATCTTTTGCACTCTGAAATGACAGTTACATTTTTACTGGAAGGCACAGTAATGCTGGAATTATCCCATCCAGTTATTATCAAGCCAAGCAGAGGAACAGTACTGAAATGGCAAATTAGCCTCTGCTTCATTTATCCTGCAGTGAGCACTCCACTCCATGGTGAATGTGTTTCCATAGGAACATGGTGTTACTTTGAGCTTCATGTGCTGTGCGACGCTCTTGACGATCCTGCCTGTTTTTTTGCTTATCTTTTCTGTTCAGCTTCCTCTCCTCTCCTCAGTCATTCTGTACAGATCAAGGAAGAGCAAAAGGGAGAAAAAGAGTTTGGAAATGAAATCAATAGGGCCATTTAACCACCGCTTGCGTTTTCAGAATTTCATTTGGCGTATCTCAGAGCCTGCTCTGGCCTTATCAGCCTGACATCGCTGTTCTTCAGGATGCCTTTTTATTACAGTCTGCAAGCGTTTACAGCTCCAATTTCCTACAGCCACTATGCTATTTCTTTCCCATGAGTGTGTTCACTGTATCTGCATCTTGATCTGTATCGGATGAAATATTGCAGCCGTTACTTCCAGTGAGAATGTGAATGTATGCTGAGAGACAGCGAGTCAGTGTGTGTCAAAAAGACTGCAGAGTCGCTGAAAATCTGTGTAAGAGTCAGCAGCAACAGTTCTCTACTTTCACGACAGGGGTTTAAGGCAATATTTCACTTTAGTTGCATATTTCGATGTCTTAAGAACAAGCTGTCTTTTCATGTAGTAAGTGGAAATGCTACTCAAAGAGACACGTTTTAAGTTTAGTACAGTGGCTTTGCCAAAAGTATTGGCTGGATTATGAAAAAGGGACAGAGTCAGATCAAAGAAAAGGAAGAGGGATATGGAGGGAGCTGAGAAGATGCGTGCTTGTATATGTGTATGACAAAACACCAGACTAAAAGGACAGAGATAGGGAGAGAGAGAAGAGGGTCTCTTGTAAAAGTGGTGCCGGTGATATACGGCAGCGTCCTTGCAACCTTCCTTCTACCTGACTGGATGTTTTATGAGCGTTGCAGAATCAGAAAAGGAGGCAGGCTTATAATACAGCTGACAGAAGTCTTTTTATGGTGGATGGGCAGAGGTGGAGGAGGGAGGGAGAGGGTGTAATAAAGCTGAGTGCATCTCTCCTGGAATGAAGCTGCAGCAATTGGGAGGGGGCAGAAGGGAGAGGGGAGGCTGGTGAAGTGCTACAAATATTAGTGTTACATGAGCGTGTGTGCAAAATGCACCATATGTCCAGATGTGTGCGTATGTGTTAGGAGAGGAAGGCAGTTTGCACAGAGCTTTTGCTGACGTCACTCTGTTGAACAATCACTCAGCCTCCATAAGGCAAGCAGAAAATGGAGCCCTCAGCATACGCCAGCCCAAAGACACCCAATTAATCCATTTTCCCCCCCTGTGTGGTGCGGTGAAGCGTGCAGTGAGTCACAGAATTGATCTTGAGCCTGTGAAGTAATATACCGTGCAGAATGAATACTTACTGATGATATATTATGTTGTTTGTTGAAATTACACTTTGTTATTCTGCCGGGAATGAAAAGACTCTTAACACACAATACAAAGACTTTTTTTTTTTTACATCGCTTCCTGCTTGTCACCTGACAGTAGCAAATCTTGACCATTTAATTATGATTGATTAATTTGAGATATTCTTACTTTAGAAAATTAAAAGTCAGTTTTACATGAGCTTAATTTCTCCATTTCAGACAACTAAACTAACAGTTTACATATTACATATTAACTGATGATGATGTAGGGATATCAGATCATGCATTGCAGTCCACTGGATAAAGATCTCCAATGTCGCTAAAATGTGTGAACAGTTGAAAAACTTCCAAATCGCTTCTATTTCATCCAATTTCTCTTGGAAAAAAACAAGCTTACCTAAAGCCAGGGAATGTGATTTCCCACAAAATATAGTCAGCAGTAACTTAAAATATATGTTATTATATGTTATTTAAACCTGATTAACTGCTTGCTAATGCAAATATATAATCAGACAGTCACATGAAAGCAGCTCAGTGCATTTAACCATGTAATCACTTTCAAGAGTTCAAGTGTTATTGCCAAAGTTCAAACTGAGAATTAGAACAAGTGACATGAATGTGGCATGGTTGCTGGTTTCAGATGGCTGGTCTGATTGTTTCCAAAACTGCTAATCTGGTGTGATTTTCCCATACAACTTCCTCAGTTTACAGATAATGATCCAAAAAAAGAAAAGAAAATGTCCAATGAGCAGCAGTTCTCAGGGTGACAATACCTTGTTTATGCCAGGGGTCAGAGGAGAATGGCCACATGGCTGGTGGTGATGGTGTAATGGTGTGGGGGATATTTTCTTTGACCATTTTGTGCCCATAGTACCAGCTGAGCATTGTTTTAATTGCACAACCTACCTGAGTTGTTGCTGACCATGTCCATCCCTTTATGCCTACAACGTGCCCATCTTCTGGTGACTGCTTCCAGTACAATAAATTCCCATAGCACAAAATATCATCACCTCAAACCAACTCACTGGTTTCTTGAACATGACAATAACCTCACTGAACTCAAATGGCCTCTTCCCTGGGGGCTTCAGTTATCAGATCTCATTGCGATAGAGCACGTTAAAAAGGGAGATTCCCTTCATGGATGTTCAGCTTACAGATCTGAATCAGCAACTGTTTGATGTTATCATCTCAATACTGACTAAAATCTCTGATATTATTTCCAAAAAATAAAAATATATTTCCTGCACCTTGTGACTTTATGCCAAGAAGATTTAAGACAGTTCTGAAGGCAAAGGTGGTTCCACCCAGTAATAGCAACTGAATGTAAGACACAAATAGAAAATGGGAAGGAATAAACAATCATTTCTCTGGAAATAGATGTTGAGAGGGTGGAGATTTCAAAAGCATGCAATGACATGTTAAAGAGGAATACTGGAAAGTTTGGTGTTTAAATAGACCAACATATTGGGACATGTTGTGTGTGAATGACGCAACACAGCTTGAGTTGTCTACCTGAACAAGTGCATAGGCTTGTTACACACTGCTACATGTTGATGAATTCACAATTTTTACATTGTGTAGCTGTATCAAAATACATAAATACAGTGACAGCAGCTGTGCCCCTCCATCAACAACAGTTGAAAGTGTCTAACTGATGTTTACATATTTATAATATTGACTAAATCTTTGGAAAAGTACTGGAAAGTTACCAGCTCAGGCTCCACAATGGACCAGAATGGAGCAGAAAAGAAGTACTTTCACTCCTCGCTATTTTACTCACAATTTAACCATAAGGAATTTTTAGCTTTTTGGACTGAGATTTTATATATGGCTGAAACTGGTATAAAACTCTGGTTCCTGTAAGAGTAAAAATCCTATAAGAAAGACAACATTTCCTCAGCCATACCTGCTACAATTCATAAAAATATGGATATATACACAATATAAAAAATCCCTATGTAACCAACAGAAAGACTCTTTTTTTACTAAGTGCATAAGGGAAAGGTTCATTTTCATAGGCAACCTTTCAAATCACGCTAATCCTCTGCTCTACTGGGAGCTTATTAAGTAAATCGATCAAGACGCACAGTCTCACAGTGAGATTCTTTTTTACTGGAGTCAAAAAAAAAGGGTTGATATATAATAAGAGTGCAGCTTTTTTTCTGTATGAAGTTATCTGCGCGCATGTGAATCAGGAGTTTAAGTAGCTTGAGCCCACAACCCTCGCAAACTAAACATGAGTAAAAGTGGAGAGTATAAATATTTTGTGTGACCTTGTTCTTCTCTTAACAGACATCAACGTCCTCACTGGCGATCTGGATAGAGAGATTCCTCGTCCTCATCTATCCTGAATGAAACCCTCTGAAGGTGGATGCTAAGCATTAAAATTGCATGTCCCAGTGGAGACCTGCCATACCAAGTAGCCAACCCGCAGCAATAAATCAACACTAGAGGACTTTTATTTCTTCATTATCGCTTCCTGCAGCAACAACAAAGGAACAGGCATGTTCACAGGCCTGTTGACCTGCGGATGTGCTTCATAGGATTCTATTTTTGGAGCCTCATTGGTTTTACAGATTAACTGCCCTCAAATATGGCCCCAATCCGTTTGTTGCTCCACTAGTTTGACTGCTGCCGGAGGTTGTGTATATTCATGCTTCAGAACGCCCCACTGTGTGACAGTTTAGTCATCTGAAGGGGCACTGCTTCTTTTTGAAAGCAGTTTGAGTCCACTTTTTTCACACTCTTGCAGAGGAACAAACACTTTGCTGTATGTAATGACAGCTGGAAAGACTTTTAAGTTATTCTTGTCAACTCCTAACTAATTGCCCTCTTTCATTGTGTAACTGAGTAAAGATTGACATCTGAAGCTTTTACACCGTTGCCAAGTCAGTGTGCTTAGATTAGTGCGTCATAATATTTTATTGAAAGAGTTTTTCAGTCACACTACAGTCACACTGAATTTCCACTGCACGTTGTTTTTATTAAACTGTCTAGCACTAATCGAGATCTTTCATCGTCAGATTCGAGATTTTCATAGTGCGTGAAAGCAAAAGTAGCTACCATTAGCAAATACGAACTGACGCGGCCATGTGAAATGGAAGACACAGGCCAAAGCCTGAACCATCAAGTCCTTAAAGAATTGTTTATGACATGTGAAGAGAGGACATTTTTGAATTATCCAACGTCACTCCAGCTGAACATTTCACAGGACAAAGCTACCACTGCTTGTTTCACTCTGACATAAATCTGGCATGCTTTGTTGGCCCCAGGGCCAAGCCCTATAACAAGAGAAAAATTAAAGAATAGGATTAAAGATGGATTATCACTGAAATACTAAAGCCAGCAAAGCAGCTGCCTTTGCATACTGTAAGCCTATTGGACTCTTCAGGGAGAAGCTCTGTTGACCAATTTGTAGATTGCATTTGGTTGTTGATGTGGTCACCTATTGGGTGGCTGGTATTAAAAAGGAAAGGATGGAGAATCTAGATGAGCTGGAGCACCCTCTTCTGGGAGAAAGTGCCAATAACAACTGGGGACCAGGGCCGGGGCTGGGACCTGGAACTGGACAGGCCCCAGGTGGGCTGTTCAAGGGAATCTTGGTTAAGTGTGAGGAGGACAGGGCCTACCCTCCATTAACATGGAGGGGCTATTGTGGACATCCCCCTGAGCTTCAGCAACAGCAGCTACTGGATCCTTGCTCCTTACCACGCACACTGGAGTCCTTTTACCCAGCAGCCCCCATTTGGGGCCACACAGATGCCCTGCTCAACAAAGACTACTTGGAGACCACGTTTGTGGACATTCGGCCAGGTTCAACACTGGAGAGGAAGCTGCTGGCTGAGACGCAAGACTTCCACAGTGCATCCTACAGCATGGACGATGAGGATGACCTGCTCCCTGACTCTGATGTAAGCAGTGTTGGACAAGTTACTTTGAAAAAGTAATTAATTATAGTTACTAGTTACTTTTTCAAAAAAGTAACTGAGTTCGTAACTGAGTTACAAGGTTCTACAAGTAATTAATTACTTGAAAAGTAACTATTGCGTTACTTTTAAAAAAATGTTTAACCCTCTGGGGTCCAGGGTATAATTGGCCATTTTTAACCACATTTCAAACATAAAATCCGAGTAGAAAAAGTTATATTTTTTACTGTAACAACCACAAACATGTTTAATGAATCATATTTCATAACTTTAAATGCAAATATAAATTGTCAATTTTAAAATCATATGCACAAGTTTTGCAAACAACAAAGTTATTTGCAACCATTTACCTTTTAGCGTTTTTTATAACCATTTCAAACTATTTACATAACAATCAGCTGTTCTGCATTCAACAGGATGCCACACAAATTATTTGTGCCACTCCAAATATTTCTGTCCACTATAAAGGAGAACATCACAGCCTGATACCTGCAGGTGTGACAGCAGCAGGTGTATCACTCTTACTGTTTTCATTGAGCATTGTTCTGACTCACAAAACTATCCACAACACTACACACTAACTACACAAGACGACACATTAACTACACACTCCAAACACGCTAAACGTCACAAATCTCTCACATCTCAAAACTCTCTCTCTCTCTCTCTCTCTCACCCTCACTCCTAAAACGTCCCCCTCTCCCTAAACAACAAAATGTCATGTTGCCACATCATTTTTGATTGGTCGGCTTGGTGCATTTTTCTACCAACACGAAAGGGCAGGTTTTTTTTGTTTGTTTGTTTTTCTTTGTCATAAGCAGAAAGTGCTCGCTGCGCTGTCCTTAGACAGTAAACGTGGCGAAACTATTGAGGAAAAATCGCTGCGTATATATTGTTTATCATGACTCTGGTTTTACGTGGCCTATCAGCACAATTTAAAAACTGGTATATATCACCTTGTTGCTTTGTCATCTTGAAGTGGTCATGTGATTGGCTTAGCACGACTACTTTATTCTTCTTCAGTCAAACAGCTGCTTAAAGCTGCTGCTTAAAGCTGTAGCGTCCAGATTACTTACAGCTACTTCCGTGGAACTGATATAAATTGCGGTAAGCTTAAGACAGCTTCAACCATCTGTTTGTTGAAAAATAGTAACGCGACCGCACCACATTTTCTTGTTAGTAACGGTAACGGCGTTATAACGATAGAAATAGTAATTAGTTAGATTACTCGTTACTGAAGAAAGTAACGCCGTTATTCCCATCACTGGATGTAAGACACTTAAAAATGTCTTCTCTTTCTTCTTTTGTACCGACAACAGAGCTTGTGCAACCGTACAGGAAATAAAAGCAGGTCAACAAATTTTCCTGCTATTGTTCAAACAGAGGATTCAGGAATATTTAGATAGGTCTGAAAGTAAGCATTAGTTTCTCAATTAGTCCTTTGTTTGTCTGTTAAGTTTCAAAAGTAACAAACCTGAAAGTTTGCATGTAGATGCCCATATTAGTTTTATCAAATCATTCTCATCCTCAGCTCAACCAGATCCTCTTCATTCCTGAAACATGCTACAGAAAAAGCAATGGAGCCTCATACTGTCAGTGCAGGTTCTGGAAACCAAAGATAAACTTAAAATAGACATGCGAGCAAAGCAGCAATTGAATGCTTACTGTCAAAAAGCCAGATTACATAAAGCTGCTCTCCTGCTGCATAACAGGTAATGACACCATAGTGCTGATAGAAGATGCCAGTTCTATATCATAGACCAGCGGTCCCCAACCCCCGGGCCTCGGACCGGTACCGGTCCGTGAGTCGTTTGGTTCCGGGCCGCGAGAGTTGAGGCTCAGGTGTGAAATGTATAGTTTTCAGGGTTTTTATCGGTTTTCAGCGTTATTTTGTTATCGTTTTTATTGTTTACTCGGTTTTCCTGGGTCTTTTCACGTGTGTTATGAATAAATCTTCTTTTTTTCGGTACCGGTACTAGTTTTATTTTGTTGTATTTATCCGCGACACTTTAAAAGCCGGTCCATGAAAATATTGTCGGGCATAAACTGGTCCGTGGTTGGGGACCGCTGTCATAGACCACCGAGCAAAGCCCATCATGAAGTAAAATATAAATTAGCTACGAGATGCCAACAGCAGTCAACAAAATAATACATACTCTAAATGTCACCAATAAATAACGTTAGTGTTTGTACTGTTTAGTCTCACATCAAGGTCAAGTAAAAGCTTTTTAAATAACTAGAACTAAAAGGCTAAGGGATGTTTAATGATTATTACTTTGATTAAGAATGCAAGTAAAAACACAAATACACAGTAGCACTACACACCGTTAAAATCGACAGCAGCTGGCTGCCACAAAGTTTAGGTAAGAGTTTGTTCCCCAAGGACAAAAGGAGAGCTTGTGTAAAATATTTTTTAAGCTCATTCTGAATGCTGGCAGTAGTGCAGTGATGCAGAGTCCTGGGCCTGTGGGAATAAAACCTTGCAGTGACCTTAAATCTGCACAAGACAACATCTTCTACTTTGCTTCACTTCAATTTTTTTTTTATAAAAGAACTTAAACTGACACATGAAACTCACTGATTGCTCCATGATCAACATTATGGAAAAATAAGTGTCCCATCCTGATTGATTTTACATGTGAGCACAGGCTTAAATTGATTTCCCTGCTTCTCATCAACACAAAAAGGATTTTATGTCTATAAAAATACTTCCCAACTATAGAAAGATTTTTTTTGACCAATAGAACAGGCATAATAGAAATAGCCCTGTGATCCAAGCTTTAAATAAATTATCTTGTTTAGTTAAAATAAACCCACTTTATGTCTATGTTTGCTGCTGGTTTACAGAACAGTTACTAAAATATAACAAAAGCCTTTTTTGGAATTGTACAACTGTTTCTTACACAAAGTAAAATGACCAAAGTGGTATGACAGGGTCATTGTGAGAGAGCAAGTCAGACTCAATATGCAGCTGTTTCAAAAAAGATGCATGAGTCATAAAGTGCCCCGCGGTCAGCAGAGCTAGTGCATATCCAGACTAACCCCATTCAATCACATTATCTTTCAGACACTAGCAAAGTTTTTAGTTGCTGTGGATGACTTGAATATAAGAGAAACAGCGTGTTTCACTTAATGTTGGAGTAGATCATCTTTGTATGTTTAAGACAACAAGCTGTATCTTTGTTAGATGGACACAAAGAGGTAGATTACAGAAATGACAAAAAAGCAAGGTTGTTTTTTACTTATGCACCTGTGCACTGGCACCTTGATGAAATAAACTGAAGGAAGTTGACAAGGCTGCAGCAGTACTGATCCATGAAATGGATCTTCAGAAATATGTATTCCTCTCTAGAAACAAAGTCTCAGTTTTTCTCTTAACCCACAAATTTTATTGAGACTCATTTTGAAACGAACGTCTTTGAGTCAAAATGTTTTTTTTATTCACTTTACACACCGTCCTTGCACAGTACCTTACATTTGAAAAGTTTCAGTGTAATTTTCATTTGCAGGAAAATGAAATGAATGTAATACCTACTGCATTTTTGTGAAGGCTGAAATCTCACAGACAAATATCTGAAAATGTGCCCAAACAAAAACAAATCACCCTAAAAGTATTTCTTTATAATGTATGTTATCGCTTTCTATCCTGAACTCAACCTAAACGCACTCTGTTTGAATCCCAGGACTCATCCATCGATGATTTTAGTGATACAGACAGTGAGAACAACTTCCCTCTGATGATCCCTCAGGACTACCTGGGTCTGGCCTTTTTCTCCATGCTCTGCTGCTTCTGGCCCCTGGGCATCGCTGCCTTCTATCTTTCACAGAAGGTATACGAACACACACAAACACACAAACACACAGACACACCCTCAGTCCTGAGCAGACAAGATACAACTTGGCTCTATCGTTCACAGCTGAGGGTGAGGTTTTACCCTCTGCAGTATGTGTGGACGATCAACGAGTCCAGTTCTTTAGTGTTGTGCAAGTGAAGGATTTATGGAGGAGAGCTGTGACAGGGAGATTACACCTGCAGAATCACACTTCTGAAATAGTACAAAGCTGAGAACTTTAGATAAAACACTTAGATCACATCCGAATCACAGTTGTCTATAATATGGTCTCTGTTGGTATCATAACTCAGATTTCTTCACATTGATTTCTTGAAGACATAAGCTTGAAAAAAACCACTGACCTCTGTCCTTATGTATCTTTTTCATTATGTGTTGCTTAATTTAATGGGCATGCATATGTATTTACAACCTTTGCATCAAGCAATACATAGAGCCATGACCAAACTAAGAAGAAGAAATAATAGTATTCCTGTACTGGGGTTTTGTCTTTAAATCAATATTTACATAAATATTTCATTGCAGCGCATAAAAACTGCTCGTTGGAGCTCACTGGTTTAAACAGCATGCTAAGGGGCATGTACTGTGTTTTGCCTACATTTATTGAATAATAAAGTCACTCTTTCTACCATATGTATACTATAATATGTATAATGTCTGCCTTTCAGAAGGGATATATCCAGTCCAGATGTATAGGGCAGAAATCTACCAGAATACCACATTAAAAAATGAATAAACTTAAAGTTAATATAACTGCAAATGTGCTGTTCTAAGCAAACTATACTATTCATACACAACTTTTTCCTATAAGTGTTCAGCATCTGCACACCACATATTTAATGACAATTTAATTAACAGATACAAAATGTAAACAGAAATAAATAGAATCACTGGCGATCTGTCCGGGGTCTACCCTCCCTTCGAAGACTATTTCCAGGATTAAATGTGCTTATTATGTTAAACGGCACTTTTTATAATCACATACATGCTCAATCATAATTTTTGACTCATTGTTGTGCATATCACTTTAATTTTGCTGTTATTGATTGATGTTAATGTGGAAATATTTAAATAAAGTACTGTGCGTTATTAAAGCGCCTAAGTAAATGTACAAGGCTGTCTTTCTACTCGTCATATCCATGCGCTCATCTGGCCAACACCTCTGGCCCCTCACCACAGAAGAAACAGGATAAAATTATTAAATCTGATTATTCAGAAGTCAGATGACTGGTCACCCAAAAGTCAGAATTGCTAGAAAAAAAGAACTTATTAACCACAGTTACTTATGGTAGTATTAAAATACCCCTTACACAAATATCTCTAGACTCCCTTATTTTATAAACTCATCCCTCCAGCAGTGCAGGGGAGAAAGAAATCCCATTAACACTTTTGCAAAGCTAACTGGCAGCATGCTGCAAAGGCCTTTTGATCAGATCAATGGCCTTCGTTAAGGTTTAATTAGAGTCATAACAAGAAACCTCAAGGTGATAGATTTCCAATATTGTTGAGTGCTGCCTAAAACAGGGGTCAGAGTCAAAGGCAAGGACTAGAGGGAGAGAGGAAGGAAGGAAGGAGGAGAAAATGATGAATGAGCTGCAATCGCTGGGTGTGATTTGGAGATGGAACATAATATGGGCTTAGCGTGAGATTGGAATGAGTGGAAGAGGAAAGTGTAGGCCAGGGAGGACATTGACAAATGATGATAAATGCTGTTCTCTCCTATTTTTTTCACTCTAATCTTTATCTCAGTGTCTCGTCTCCTCTTTTACTCAGACCAACAAGGCATCGGCTCAGGGGGATTTTCAGGGGGCCAACGCAGCGTCTCGCCAGGCTCTCTGGCTCTCGGTGCTCTCCATCGTGTTTGGAATCATAACGTACATCTGTGCCATCGCTGCGTTGATTTCTTACCTGTCCGCAAAACCACCATAAAAGCAACTCTTTCAAACGGACATGCATACAAAAGACTGACCTCTCACATATTTCATGAAGATCAACACATGCCAACATATCACCGTTAAATGTCAAATAATCACAGTGTTTGTCTGTCGACTTGTCTGAAGTCACGTTTCATCTACACCAAGCTGAAAAGCTGCGACGCTGAAAACAGAAGCTGGGAGCTGGTGTGTCGTTTATAATCGCTTTGGGATTATAAAAAGAAAAATCAGCTCAAAGGATGTTCTGAGCACATGAAGAAAACTCATTGAAAAAGCAGTCTGTTACTTGTTTAGTGATTTGAAGACTTAAGTTACCTTCTGTTAAATCTGTGCTGTAGTTGTCATCATATGTGAAGCATTACTGAAGTAAAAAAAAAAGAAAGAAGAAAAACAGAAATTCACATTTTTCCACAGCACTGTAGATATCAGCATTACAAGCAATGGATGAATAAGAAGAAGCAGTGGGGATATGTGTCATTGTCTGCCTGGGAGGAGCTAAGTGGAGGGCAGTATACGATTAGATGGAGTCTGCAGATTTATGAGAGGTCACAGCAAGGACGTGGCAGCAGATAAATCCCGATGGACTTCACTGTGGGAGGGCCTGAGCCAGCACTGTCACTTGAGGGGTGAAAGCTGGTGATGATGTTTTAAAACATACAATGAGCCAGAAGCAATAGTCCTTTGGAGAACCCAGAGTTCCTTGCTGACGGGAGGGATCCCGAGGGAAATGCTGCACGTGAACATCGATAAGCTCATCCTGGTTTCACACTGCTTCAGTCACTGTTTACTGACAGAAAGGACTGCCTCTGCTTTGTTTATACCAACTGAATCATTATCTTCATGTTGAAATACACAAAACACTAAATAACTAACGCACAGAGTGTAGTTGCTGGTATAAGAAAATACGTTCACGACTTTTAAAATTAAATGCAAAACTCGGAGGTAGAAAATGGACTCAAGATATAGACATTAAATGTTATCCTCTATATATACACAGGGTTAAGAAATCATAACATATACAGCGGAGGAAAGAGCTGGAAAAAGTGCCAAAAATACAGAAGAAACTCTGAGGTTGATCCTTTTATCAGCTATTCCATTATTAGAAGCAGCCAGGCTGTTCACACCATGCTCCTTAAATATAGATTCTGCTATTTTCTCCACCAAAAATAGAACTGACATCTTCAGGAGCTTGCTTCTTGCAGTATGACTGACTTTAAAAAAAGTCTACTGAAAACTTCTGTTCAAAAACACACAAATGCTTTATTTAAATGGGCCAAGAAAAGTTGCAAAAATTGTGATGCATGTTTCAATAACATCCCAGGTTTGGTCATAAGAAAACCCTGCATGGTGAGCTTGTTGGTTTCCTGCTGCAAACTTTGTTTCCTTCAATTGGACCAACATTGTTGCAAAATTGACTGGATTGACTGGAAAAAGCTCTGAGCCTTTAACTACATAGTAAATGGGGGGTATCCAAGTAAATATAAAGGAATGACTAAGGTGGAAGCTGACATTTTCTATTTAGATAAATAGTTTTATAGAGCACACAGCTCAAGTACATATAAAATACTAGGTTTGCTGCAATCCCAGTGTTGTTTCAAAGCTGGTAATAGATCACTTTTAACAGATTTTAGTAGACAAACCTCTGGTATCTCCGTGTCTTGCCCTTGTCAGCTCTCTCATTGTCGATGCGCTGTGATTCAGCTGTACACTGACAATCCTGAACTAGCGTCTGTCTCCACTGTACTTTCATTTTAATAGAAGAAAAACAAATCACACTTTGTTGCTACAGCTGAGTTACGTCAATTATTGATTTATATGGAGGCATTTCACGTGGATTGCTCCGAACGATGAGGCTGTCGTGCGACAGGCTCTGCTCAGGTTTGTCTCGCTTTGTGTCACTCGTACAGAAAATAAGCGGACTCTGAACGTGTGAGTCAGTAAAGTTCAAAGGTTGCAGCAAATGGGATTTATTACTACAAAAAATATTCAGGGCTTTTCTTTTCCCCAGGTCACATCCTTGTATTAAATGTATATATTAAAGTGAAAGAAAATCAGCAAATCCCAATAAATGCACTTGTTTGACATTCACCTTTCCTCCTTTCATTTCTGATCTCTCACAAATGTACTCATACAAGCCTTCCCACCATAAAGCACAGCTGTCTACAACTGAACTGAAGAAATTGTAGCCCACAGGGGTTTCTAAATATTTTATTACGACATCAGTGTTTGCATGCATTGTTAAAATAAAAATAAAAAAGACTAGGCAAAAGAAAGCTCCGTGTTTCTCATAGGCTTTTGGAGTATCGCCGCTTGACAGAGTCTCTGTAGAACTGGAAGATCTTCTCTGATGCTTTCTGACTGACTGCTATGCACTGCTGCAGCTGTGAGAGAAGAAAAACAACAACTGAGGATCAGACAAAATATGAAATGCAACAACAACTGATTTAAGTCACATCAGACCTGAGGCAGACAGGGAGAAAGCAAAAATAAGAACCGTTTTTCCAAAAAGTCACACATGAAGCAGAATCACAAATCTAAACTTAACAACGTTGTAGTGTTTCTTTTTAAATTTTGGCAGGGAGTGTGTTATGTCTTTATTCTGATGGGACAGTAGAGAGCAGACAGGAAAGTAAGGAGAATATGACCCCTCCAGTCAGTATCCAGTCAGCATACTGGTTCCCTGTAGGCGGGCCAGAGTGAACCCCATATTTTAGTGTTTCTGGAATAATACTTGTTATTCAGTCAAAAAAAAGGGAATCCCATTTGATTTTTCCATTCAATTCCCTTTTAAAGTGTCCTTAAAGAGGTCATGTTTCGATCCATGGGATCGTCTCCAGGAAAAAGAAGCAAAAGAGTAGATTTATTATCATTCCTGTCATCCGCTGATCAAAAGGGAATCCAGGAACCCATGGGACAGTTTCATCTGAGTCCAGTCTTCCTGTTTTATGCAAATTGTCTAATCACATCAGCTGATGATTTATAGCTTGCATTTAGATAAATGCTGTCCCTCTTTTAGTCTCCATATAGATAGCTGCATGCAACCAAAGGCTGCTCAACATGATTGATCAATAGCGATATAAAATAAATCCCCTAAAATTTCCAGAAACTATGGTCCTTTTGGGTAACAGGAGAAAAAAAATACTCCATGATATTGTTATCAAGACTGCAGAAACTCCAAAATGGTTTTTAGGATGTATTCTTGGTTTGGCAACATCTACAAACAGCCTCTGCAAGGGATGCCCAGTCTTTTCTCTTTGAAGCACGCTTTAGAGAAGTCTTTTCTGGCTTGGCATTCACAGTTTTGTTTATTTGAAATGGTGCACACTTTTTTTCCTGTCATTAATCCACTGACCTCATGCACTGAAAACGATCCTTTGGTCGACGACATCAAAACGCTGCGTTTTGCGCTGTCGATCGCAAAAGTCATCAAAGCTCGACTTTCCTTTTGAGAGAGAAAACAAGACACGGGCAAGGAAATTAAGACGATGTCAATCTGTCCCGTTAGGAAGCAAAACCATTCCACTGATACAAATGGAAGTGACAACAGATGCGCTGGACAGACAACAGTAAGATATTCCAAAAAAGGGAATACTTTAGCTGGTGGCGACTATAGATCGCTGTGCTTGCCTTATCGTTCCTGACTGATTTTTCTCTAGTTTTGTTTTTCTTTGCCATTTAACTGCATTCAATTTATTTTTATTTATACAATTTCCTCCACAGTTGCCTCAAGTAGTGCAGTATTCAGGAGAACATCCCAACAATTACATGACAGTGATGTCAAACATATGGGCCAGGGGCCAGAGTTGGCCCAGGAAAGACTCCGATGTGGCCCCCACTGGACAGCACTGGAAAATATGAAAGAAGGTGTAAATGGACTGTTCATAAGTTTTACAGTTTTATCTTTACCGATAAAGACGTACAACATGGCTAATCAAGCTAAACCAAAGTAATTAGGTCAGTTTTTCCCAACCTTTTGGAGTCACGCACTTATTTCAGATTAGAAAACAAAATAAAATAAAAATCACACGGCACACAACCTAACAAAAATGTCACAAAAAGCATGTTGATAATTTTTCCCCACGCACCAGGTATAGAGGAATTGGCTTGGTTTGTTGCCAGTATGCCTTTTTTGCTTTCTTCTGAGCACTACTCGTGCTCGGGCCTTTATCTGGGTCAGTATTTCCTCCAGGACCCAGGTCAGACTGACTACTTTTTCTTTTCAAATATTTATGTATTGCTATTACGGGCTGCACCATCTCACAGCATGACTATTATGTAATTTCTTCTTCATCGTCTTCTGTGTTACTGGCTGTTGGCAACCAATTTAATTAGAGCAGCTGATTGTACTGCCCTCTAGTGGAAGAGAATATAATGGTTCTGCCCATTACTCATGCCGATCGTACTAATCAGGTGGAACCAGATAATCTTCCACGCACAGCGGTTGGAAACACTGAATTAAGTAATGTGTAATTATAAACATTTATTTGTTACAGTTTAAGCCCTTACAGTTTATTTCTATTTAAGAATCCTATTGAAGAGTCTTTCAGCAACTACAACAGCTTTTCTTTATTATCATTTTATGTAGAAAAACTGAAACGTACTGTTCAAACTGCATTTCTTTTCCTTATATTAAGATATTTCAAGGATTGAACTTCTTGATAGAAAAGAGTTTCACACGGTATGGTCCACCTAATGTCAAAGTGGGATGTATCTGAGCCACAACGTAAAATGAGTTTAACACCCCTGCCCTATGAACAAGCACTTAGCAATGGTGGGATGGAAAAGACCTATATTTTCTGTGTCATTTGTTTGAAAAGTTCCCAGGAAATTTGACAAAAGCCACCATTAGAGTGTTTTGGGAAGATTTTTGTCACCCAACATTCTAAAAGTCTTAGATTTACCTTTTCCTGAGCTGCAGTGGGGTCTGTGATGATTTGCCCATCTGTGCTGATGGCACAAGTCACTCCGCAGAAGAGGCAACTCATGGGCAATCCTGCATCCATAAGAGCCATACATGCAGCATTCAAACAGCAAGACAGCAGCTGAGGAACAGGTAAGGAAGAACACTCACAGAAAACATCTCAATTTTAGAGCCCTACTTGCAGATTGGATATAAACCTCAAAGCTTGCAGCAGCACAGTTTTACAGAAGGATACTGAACCATCATCATGCAGGACCTGAAGGATGAGAGTGAGCGAGGAGCGTGGATGGAGCGTCAGGAGCAGAGAAGCCTCACAGGTTTCTCGCACACACTGCTCTTGCGATCGTTCCCTTACACCTAGAAAACAAACAAATCTCGGTATAAAAAAATGAATGCGAGCAGAAAGCTCACGTACCCCACCCTGTGGTCAGCTGTGGCATAGCAACTTTTCCACAGCAGAAACCTCAGAGACATTCTTGTAGATATCAGGATGCAAAAGGTCTATTTCACATTAGCTTCCCCAAAATAAAAGAAGCAATGCTGCATAATGAAAATTTTTACCCCTAAAAAAAACTCACTTGGCAGCCCTACTTTGGGCTGTACCAACACCTCCAGGGTCGCCCGGTCATAGATCTCCTTGTTGACTTTGACCTCAGCTGGTCCGTACACTCCAGCCATCACACTCGTGTCTCCTTTAGACAAGAACAGAAAGGAGCATTATTCAATAAATAACACTGGATAATTAATGATGTCTTTCCCCACATAAACAGACATCTAGGAGGGGAAAAGTAGTAACATCAAATCATTTAAAGCAGTACGACCCCCAGTAAATGTGCTCACAGCACATGTATTTTTTAAAGGGGGGACTTAAGCGCAGACACCCCATTTAGAACAAGCTTTTAATAAGAGAAGTAAAGCTGATGTGATACTTCTAAATGACACAAAGTCTCATCGTGTAAATTTCACATTTATTCTTCCTCTTGCACCACAATATTTTTTTTTCACGACACTGAACCAACCCATCCATCCATTTCCGCTTATCATTATCAGCTACCATACCAAAATCTTGCTATCACATCAAATGGTTGATTAAACTGTGTAAAATATACTTTAATAAATTAAAGTTTGCATATAGACTTCTACCATTAAAATGAACCATCGTTATATTCTTACCTCGCTCTATGTTCCTATTAAATTGTTCCATTGTATAATAATTACAGTCCTTTAACATTTTGGTAAAAAATTCAGTCAGGATCTATATTGCTATCATACCCCAGTGTCCCACTTTCCATTTGATTTGTTACTTGAAATGTGTCAGACATCTGACTTTATTATACATCTTATCCACACATCATTACCTTTTGTCTCAGACAAGCACCAAACAATTTGACAGTGCATTGAAAGTGACCATCCCAATGCTTTGCCTTACATTTTATCAGCTGTATTTTTCTCATTCTCTCAGCTCTTTAATGACTAAGACCTTTGCCTGCTCCGGTGTTCCATTTCACTTTATGAACACCTTACAATCTGTTGTCCAGGTTGACTGTATTTTCTTCCGTTTTCTTAATAATCTTGCAATATCTGCATTTTTCTTGATTAGGTGTTCATTAACATACACATTCGTTCCTTTCAACTTTCTTCAGTAGCTCTTTCTTCTGCTTCCTATTAATAAATCTTATAATAATGGCAGGTTTTTGATTCTTGTTTTTCCTTGGAAGAGCATGGCACTCCTCAGTGCTCCTATCCATTTCAATGCCTTTACTTTTGAAAAAGCCCATTGCCTGTTCTTCCAGGGAGCGCAACTCTTGCTCAGGCAGCTCCCCTCTCTCCTCTGCTGCTGCCCATGCATATGTCTGGTGCTTGGTTTCTTGTCCTTTTCCTCACTTTGCCTTCTTAATTCTTTAATATCCTCAATTAAGTTGATTATTATTTGTTGTTGTTTTGCAATGGTTGTTATTTCTTCTGACATAAAGTTCAAAGATTCCTTTATGTCCTCCAGTTCTTCCTCATTGACGTTACGTCTTTTAGGCAGCATCTTCTCAATACTTGTGCCCCTTTTTTTACTGCAGCCCCAATCAATCCTGAGGCTTGCTAACCTGCGCCTGCCTTTTCCTGTAGCTTCACTAGCTCTTGATGGAGCCTGGTTGTGGCCTGGTGGCTGATGATGGACTCTGATCGTGGCCTTATTTTGACACATAAAAACAAAACAAAGAACTACACAACACACTAACTATACATTAACTACACACTCCAAACACGCCAAATGTCACAAACCTCTCACATCCAATGACTGTGGAATTGCTCACATCTCACAGTTGATCTCTCTCTCTTGTTGCCTTGCCATATCATCTTTTGATTGGTCAACATGGTACATTTTCCCACCAATAGGAAAGTGTTGGCTTGTTTTTTCGGGCTGTCATTAGAAAATCCAGTTGTTACCTTTTCTTGGTATATAGCTTGAACTTTCAACACAAATAAAAATGTAATGGAGACTCAGTGGGAATGCATCTTGTTGCTATGTCATATTAAATTGGTCATGTGATTTGGAAGCCTCAGAGGGTTAATTAGAAGTTCAACAATAAACCACCTGTGTTGAAATCTGAAATGCCATGTTGTTGATTCAAAATGTGCACAGTACATCCGCCCCTGGAGGGAGGTTAACACTATGCAATAAATATATTTATTTTATTAATTAGTTGTAGCTAGGCTCAACGTTAATGCTACCTTATTTTAATAAACAACATTGTCATATGCAAAAGTAAGCTGGCACATGCCACCCCATGCCACCCCATACCACCCACGCCAGCATAAAAGATGCACCCCTGATTCTCATTATTAGATTATTTTGGGTATAAGGGTAAAGAAATTCATGTCACTAACTGAAGTGGCAGGTTAACTTCCCTAACCTTTCTCCGTCCTTTACGTCCAGTTTAGAGGCAAATAAACGCCCAGATAAATGATTTCTAAAATTAGTGTTACCTTGGACGAAAGAAGCAGAACCATCAGTTCGAGACAGCAAGCTCTGTTCACAACCAAACTCTCTCAAAGAAACAGTCAGAGATCCGCAGACCTCCATCGTGGAGAAAGCAGGTTTGTCGCAGGCGGATGGCGTCATCTGTTTTCCCTCTAGTTTAGGCTCCTTACTGATGACATCAGAATGAGAAAGAAATGTTGGCTCTAATAAATAGTTAATTCACAAGAAATGTGGATCTGTAATATATTTCTATGACAACGAAGAAGAAATAATATTTTTCATCATAATTCACGTTTTCCTGACGCAATCTGAAGCCCTATTTTGCGTTAATATGGTTAATGTATTTTGAAAGTACCGGAAGTGCAGCATCTGTATATTAGTGTAGTTAATCACAATGACCGCTAGAGGGCAGACAGCAGCCGCATTTAAACACAACGGGTTCAACCTTTTATTTTCTCCCCTTATTGGTCATAACCACTCACCAAAATTTTATTTACATCAGTTTATTTACTCCTTTTCACAGGTGATCATTTACTGGCATTGTCTGAATTGCAACCACCATGTTGCAGTCTCCGCTATTACCACTGGATGACGATGAACACTCGTGGCTGCAAAAATTGGTTTATCTGCTGTCTGTATTTACGTCATCAGTTAGCTGTGAACTGAAACGAAGACATTTTTAGATTTTGACAAGTAGTTAAAATACTTTATTTTAATATGCCAACGGCTATACCTGCGATATTACTTGGTTTATCATCGGAACTGGAACTAACAATATTCTTTATTTTGCCACTGACTCTGCTTTTACTATTAATGCAGTACCGCAATGTGACCACAGGATGGCAGCAGAGTAGGATTTAATATTTGGTAGGGTTGAAAGGACGTAGAAATCGTTGTTTTATGACTGAATTTAAGAACAGCTATCCGACTTTATTCATCGGTTCTTCCGTACTGCTTACCGCCCTCTCCTCCCTGGCTGTGTCTTCTCTCTTTTTCTTTCTTTCCTGTGGCGTAGTTGCCTCGTGTCTCTTTAATACCAGTTATCGTCAGATTTATAGGTATACCTGACATCTCAGGTTGAGTTCGTCCAGAGGAGCGCTGCGCTGTTTTATTACAAACTGTTTCACGTGTGTTACAACTAATCTGTATGTGCAAAAGACAAATGCGTAAATGCCGACGCAAAGCATTTTTATTTTTACGTTTACTTCTTTCTGTAAGATGTATTACATATCATATTGCAATAACTGTCAAATTTTGTTAATGTGACTGCGTTAGTGTGTCTGAATCTTAAAATAGGCAATATTGATTTTGATAAGTTAAAATCGCTCAAAAAGACCATAGAAAAACGACCAGGGCACGTCGTTACGCAAAGTGACAGTATTTTAATTAACAGGTCAGCATCACACAATGGACTTTCATCAGGTTAATCCCCCGATGAGGGGGGCCTTTATTCATAAAACTGACACTCTGCCTTCCTGGGCATCCCATGCATTTTTCATTTATTTATTATTATTGTTATTCTAACACAAAAGAGTGTTAAATCTCGACAGCTTTAATCAATCATTTCTTCAACTTGTGAAATACGTAAAAAGTGACAAATAAATTTCTTCCCGTTATACTATCTGTGCATCTTTTAAATCCTCACCTGCGGGGGGAAAGGGTGAAGGAGCGTAGTTAGTTCCGGCAGAACTACACCTACAGATTAAATGCTACGTAGCATTTCTTGCTTCACATTTCGGGGTTTTATTTTGAAGGCCTGAGCGGATGTGGAGGATACTGTAGCCGACTTTAACATTGCAATCAGTTTGCGACTCTCGGCCTGTAAACTGTGGATGAAAACAGGAAGGACAGCGAGTGGTGGTTATTAGTAGTTCCGTTGGCCAGATTTGTGCATATCCACCAGTGTAACTTCTCCTTACCTGGTGTACGGCGGCGGTTAAATCAAACAACTACTGAGTGTGCAGATGGCAGCTGTGAGCAGCATGAGCAAAATGTATGGGCTCTGTTTCCGCGCTGTCCGTCAGACAGCAGGACTGAAGGCATATCGACTGCTTCAGCGCAGAGGCTTCAGGGTAACTGTAAGTGAAAACTCTCATGCACTGTTTGGATTGAGCAATGAATAAATTATGGGAGGCTGGACTGGAGATAACGCTGTCATTAAGAGCCCGGGATACAGCAAGGCTCACGAAAGAGTATCGTCCAACTCAATCAAGTAGAAATACTGTTAAAAATAAACTGAATCTTTTAATAAGTTTTGGGGTTAGGTCTTGTTTGCACAAAGATTCTGGTTAGCTACGGAGCCGCTAACTTGGCTAACAACCTTGCTGAAATGCTATACCGATTCTCCAGTGTATCCGTGAAAAGTCAGACTAACTCTCACATAATTAGTGAATACATGTTTGACATTTACTAAACAACTTGAGTTGCAATAAATACTAATTTTAATTTTTGTTGTTTTGTCTCTCACACCGGACTAGTTATCCAGCCGGCTAAGGACTTAGCTAGCCTCTTTTCCATTGGTCGAACCAAGGGGCGTGAAGGAGGAAATCCGATGTCCTCGAATGCATCATTTTTTCAAAACAACTTTATTTAATTGCTGGTGCTGCTGTATGTCCTTCACTGCTATTTTATTTCCTTCGATCGCTCCAGCACTTAAATCTGGATGTAACTCTTTAAAAAGAATCTAATGTGGAGTTTCTAAAATCTGTATGGGAAAGAGATTTGTGAATTGTTGTTACAGCGGAACAATAGAACTACACTGGAAGGAGTACATACTTAATCACTTCCTCATTTATAAGAACCCAGACTTACGAAATTAATTCGTTCCCAAGGGTCTTTCGCAAGTCGAAAATTTGCATTTTGCCGTAACGCGGGCAGAAATATTGCCGTTAAGTGCCTTCATAACTTGAATTTTTTGTTGTCTTCATTTTTCTGAAATTAAGCTTTCTAAAATCTCTAAAGGTTCAACCAGTGTTATTATAGTTAACTAAAACAAAACTAAAAACTTAAACTAGATGTTTAAAAAGTTACCTAAAATAAAAACTAGCCTTTGGAAAAATAAAATACCGGTAAAAACTAAGAATCAGTCACCAAACTTAATTTATAATTCAATTTTATGCATTTCATTAATGCAGTTCAAAGTCCTGGTGGACAATCCTGTGGGGGGGAAAGAGCAAAATGAAATGAAGCAACACAAATATAAAACAATACATATATACACAATAGAAATTCAGGTAAGTTGTTTGTGCACAGGTCTCTTAAGGACCTACCACAGCATTTCAGTCAGGTTAAAGGTTGTGACTTTACTGGGCCATTGGAACACCTTGAATTTCTTATTTTTCTGCTGTAGATTTGCTGCTTATTATCCAGTTGCATGACCCAGTGGTTGTCAGAGAGATGGCTTCACATTTGACTCTAGAATACTTTGGGATATAGAAGAGTTCACGATTGTGTGGCTGCAAAACAAGTTCAAATCGTCACCCCTCCACCACATGCTTGACAGTTTGTATGAGTTGTGTGACCTGATATGCTGTGTGTGCTTTTCCTAGGGCCTTTCTTTGCCACAGCCACAATGAGATTGTTAATAAATAATGCTTGTATTCAATCCTTTCAGGTTCTTCAGCTGCAGCAGACCTTTGACTCTTCGCTGGAAAAGCCCCAGTTTCCAGGAGCCTCGGCCGAGTTTGTGGATCAGCTCGAGTTCATCCAGCCCAATGTCATCTCTGGGATCCCAGTGTACCGAGTGATGGACAGGCAGGGAAATATCATCAACCCCTCTCAAGACCCTCAGGTACAATCAGCCTGCCTGTGCTCCTGGTTCCCAAATGTGCCCCTAAGACCCCTGCAGTCTGTTGAGCCAATGTTAATTTGTCGATTATGTGTTTCTCTCCTACGCAGCTCTCCAAAGAGACAGTTTTGAACTTTTATCAGAAGATGACGATGCTGAACACAATGGACCGCATTCTTTATGAGTCTCAAAGACAGGTATGTTTCCTCCTGCATTTCCTGGCTCAACCTGATTATTTAAAACACAACATCAGCAGTTTTTGAACTTAAAAATAGGTGTTTCAAAGGGTATTTTCTTTATCCATCCGTCTATCTCCACTTATCTGCTGTCTTAGGGCGAGAGGCAGGGTACACCCTGGACAGGTCGCCAGTCTGCTGCAGGGCTTTTTTTTATGTTAATTATAATTAAAAATTAAAAATGAATGCATAAAAATTAGATAGGGGTTCTCGAGGACACAGGTCCATCTCATAGGGAAGTTGGGCGCTGACTAGGGAGTGTTTTTGACTAAAAGGCCAACTGTTGCTGATTACTGAAAGAAATCCAGTGAGAGCTCTTGAGTGATCCTGTAACACAAGTAGATATTCACTAAACCATTAGTTTTATTCCATCCAAATCTTTAGTCATTTTGGCTCGAGCTGAACTAAACAGCAAGTGAGTTTTAGTTTTTATGAAGGGAGGACACCAAATAGCTGTAAAAGAAAGAGGTGCACTTGATTTATAACAGCAAAACACAACGATTTCAGGTAAAATTAATGCAAAAAGTAATTATTTTTTCCCAGTTGTTTTATTTTCGTAATTGCTTAAAAAAAAAAATCATACTTGAGATTACAGTCTGATTAACAGTCCAACCCTGTCCGTTACAGGGTCGGATCTCCTTCTACATGACTAACTATGGTGAGGAGGGGACACACATCGGCAGTGCTGCTGCTCTGGATCCAAACGATCTGGTTTTTGGGCAATACAGAGAAGCTGGTAAGAATGAAATGTGGTTTCGTTTGGGCTTTTCCCCCAACTAATATAGTTCTATTTTTTGGGTCCATTGTTCATATGAACATTTTAATTGTAATCAAAACAGTTGACCACTTCAGTGTTCATTTCTACATCTCCTTTTGTTGTTGCTGTTATCACAAATGTCTTCCAGACAACATTTGAAACTGAACAAATTACTTTGCAGTATGGTCAAATGATTACTACAGAAAAAAACTTGTTTATATGAGAATTTAACAAGAATATTTATTGCTTACAAACTGAGTTCATCAGGTTTCCAAAAATTAGTAAAGTTTAGTAAAATTAATAAAATCCAGTGAGTCAAAAACTATTTGCCTCAGTGCCACACAGTATAACCAGCTGTAGGCTAACTGGCATCAGCAGTGCTCCCTCTCATAGTTTAAGGTTTTACCAAAGTAATAAGACTCTTGCCTACCTTATAAAAAGATCATTCCAAGCATGTTAGATAGTTTAGCGAAAGGGATGTGGTGCACAATAATCACATTCCTCCTGTGCTCTTCTGACTATTCTATCAGTGAGAGAATAACAATCATCACTTCAGTATGAGGAATAATAATCATAGCATCAATATAAGGATTCAGACGTGAGCAAATTCTGAGGGGAAGATTGCTGAAATTATCAGAATGGACACATTTGAATGTAAAACACAAATATGTTTTACATTTAAAAAAAACTGACCACAACAAAAAAAGGGTTCCCAAGTCTCCAGTCCTTATTTTAATATCCCCACTGTTTGCTCCTTCAGTCGGTCTGGTTCTCTTGTCTTGTGAGAAATCGTGCGACACATCTTCTATTACAGGAGTGCTGATGTACCGAGGCTTTCCTCTGGATCACTTCATGGCTCAGTGTTACGCCAATGCTGATGACCTCGGAAAGGGCCGGCAGATGCCCGTCCACTATGGCTCCAAAGATCTGAACTTTGTCACCATCTCATCTCCTCTGGCCACACAGATTCCTCAGGGTGAGCTCCACGCCTGTGTATTTACCTCTGCTGCCTGAAGCAGGATAGACAAACACACAGCTGTAAATATGTCTGTGGCTCTGTGTCTCTTTCAGCGGCTGGAGCTGCGTATGCAGTCAAGAGAGAGAACACAAACCGTGCCGTCATTTGCTATTTTGGAGAAGGAGCAGCTAGCGAAGGGGATGCACACGCCGGCTTCAACTTCTCTGCCACCCTTGAGTGCCCACTGATATTTTTTTGCCGCAACAATGGCTACGCCATCTCTACCCCTACAAACGAACAGTACAGAGGTGATGGCATCGGTAAGGCTGAATGTGATTTTTCTGCCACTTTTCTGCTGCTGTCTGATTGATGTTCCAGCTGCTCTTATCTACACACCTCTGGTTCTTTTTCTTTAACAGCTGCTCGTGGTCCTGGTTATGGCATGTTGTCCATTCGTGTTGATGGTAATGATGTGTTTGCTGTGTACAACGCTACAAAGGAAGCGAGGCGCAGGGCTGTGGCTGAGAACCAGCCATTCCTCATTGAGGCAATGACCTACAGGTTTGTTAATGTTTGAGTGATTTTGTCTGCGTTTGAAAGGACATGTGGAACAGTTTTTAGGCTGACAGTTCATCACTAACATTTTCTTCATCCTTTATAAATGTTTCATTTTACTACTGAAATTTAACACTTGAATGGACGGCATCGAATAAATAAGTAAATGCACTCAACAGAATTTGGTTAGGTACACCTTGCCTAGTAATGGGTTGGAGATTTTGTTCCATATTGACATGATGGCATCATGCAGTTTCTGCAGATTTGTCTGCTGCACCTCCATGATTTGAATTTTCTTTTTCACCACATGCCAACGGTGCGCTGTTGGACTGAGATCTGGTGATTGTGGAGGGATGTTTGAGTACAGTGAACTCATTGTCATGTTTAAAAAAAACTGTTTGAGGTTATTTGACCTTTGCGACATAACAAATGATCCTGCTGGAAGCAATAAAATTCAATCCTCAGTTAATACTAAGTGAAAATTTCCCCCACACCACGAAAACACCATCACCAGCCTGAAACGTTCACATAAAGCACGATGGATGGAGGTTTCCATGTTCATCTCAAATTCCGATACTCCCATCTGGAAAATAAATGTTTCCTGTTCTTGGCTCCCAGTGTAGTCTTTGGTGCTGAAGCTCATCTACTTCAGTTTGAACAGGTTCATGTGTTCTGGCCATTTTCCTCATACCTCGGGAATCAACAAGATGTTTTGTTCGGAGAGCTGGCACTCACTTTTGGCGGACAGACCAACAACAGCACGAGCCAGAATGGCCCACAGACATACTTAACAGACCAGTTTGTACGCTGCCTTCATCTAATATAGCTGGACAGGCAGCAAACCTCTGCTGGACTACAAAACCAACTTTAACCTTGTAGACTGACAGCCGAGTCAGAAGTTTGAAGCCAGAATCTAACAAAAATGTGATTATGTAGTTAAAATAGTCAATTTTCTTTGTGCAAACTAAAGCCAGCTGCTAATGAGGACTGAACTGTGCAGTTCATCAAGTAAATATGGCACTTTACAAAAGCCAGGTGGCTTTCTTTTAGCTGGGATCATTTTTTAATTTCGCTGTTGTTTTAAGATTATCGATATGCACCTTTACCAGAATGCAAGGGTTTTACCCCCTAAGCCATAAAAGGCTCATTAGATATTGGCAGTAAAGTGAAAATATATTTGATCATCTAAATATTATTAAAGGTTTATAGTTAGAAACGCTTAATATTTTATGTTGCTATAATGAAAATTGTGATTTGGTGTAGAATTTTAAAAGTACATTTTTGGGTTGTAATTGAAGAGTGCTGTACACCACAGATGTACTCATCCTGAAACAGCGACAGTATGAAAAGTCATGTTAAGAAAAATGTATTTTGTTGATTCTTCAGAATTGGCCACCACAGCACCAGCGATGACAGCTCGGCGTACCGTTCAGTGGATGAAGTGAACTATTGGGACAAACAGGACCATCCCATTTCCAGGCTGAGACATTACATGACAGCCCGCGGATGGTGGAGTGAAGATGACGAGAGGAGCTGGCGAAAACAATCGCGCAAGACGGTGATGGAGGCGTTTGAGAGGGCTGAAAGGCGGCTCAAACCCAATCCTGAACTGTTGTTCACAGACGTGTACCAGGAGATGATACCCAGCCTGAACAAGCAGAGAGAGTCCCTGTGGAGACATGTGCAGCAGTACAAAGAGCACTACCCACTAGACTTGTATGAAAAATAACTTTTTTGCTACGGGGCAAAACAAGTTGAAGTTTGGTTGATAAATAGACTGTTGCACAGTTTTAGCTGTATTCATAAAAGGTAGTTTTGATACTTGTCATTTCTTTCTGCATGACAGCGGGGAGAAAGATTGTGGTTGCAAAACAAAACTCCAAGTTCTTCATGTGTCTGGGTTTGGTGCCTTAAGTTAATAAGATTTACTATTGGTAGTAAAGCTTCTCAAATTTAAATTCACACCTTTATTTCACATTAATTCCAGGTTCTGTAATGTTCTGCAAGTACACTAGAATCACCTGCTGCAGTGTGAATGCATTACTCACAATATAAATACAACAGCGGGCAAAAAAAATGGAACTTGACTTTGTGTTTCTTCTCTTCTTACACTCCTGTTCAGTGACGTCTAACAGGTTTCATTGTGTGTCACGTATTTCAAAGAACTATTAAAATGCTTCTTAGTATACACACTCAAATTTTAGATGTGATGGTATGCTGTGGTGATGTTACACACTGTTCGAAATCCCAGAACTGTACACTTACCTAGCTCGTGATTGGTGTTTCGTGGAAAATAAACTGAGGAACATTCATTCTTGTTTTTATTTCATTTCAGTTGTATGGCCGGTTTGTGAGTCATCAAAAACAAGTCTGTTTCACCTGCATGTGATTTAATGCCTGAACGGGCAATCAAATGCCTTTCCATGATGACACCCAGTCTGGTAACAAAATCAAGCTGCTTTACGGCAACTTAATTTTGTTCACAATACATTTCTTTTTTTGCTGGCAAGATGGTCTATAGAAAATCAACTCTGCAAAACCATGAATAGTACATTAGTGGAGAAACAAATCTTTAATATGCAAGTGCAGTCACTATTTGCCATCTTCATAACCAGTCCCGTTCAACAAGCCAACAGGGAGCTGTTAATCCCCTTCCACAACTTTTTTAACTCCTGTGGGGACCTCTGGTGAACCAGAATAAGGTTTTTATATGCACAGAGATCCTCACGATCTTCTGCTCTGATATCAAATGTCTGAAATCCTGAGTGTGCCTCAGGAGAAATCCCTAAAGCCATGAAACACATCCCAACATAGGCATCATCAATGGGGAAGAAAGGAATGATGTGTAAAAGTGAATAGAGGGATTCCAGCAAAGCTCCAGAGATAAGATAGCCACCTCCACCAGCATAAGGAGGGTATGGGCCATCGTAGAAGCTCATAGGGATGTAGTATTTGCTATTTGAGTCCCTGAGGGGACTTCCAGCACTTATAACATGACCAGCATACAAACTAGATACTTTAGAAGCCTCGAGAGACTCGATGTACCTGACCAGTGCTGGGGTGTTGACAAATACATCATCATCCCCACTAAAGACAAAGGAGACATGAGGACAGCTTTTCAATGTCCAGTCGAGCAACATGTTCATTTTGAGCGTCAGGTTTAGAAATGTTTCATGGAAGTCCCACTGCAGGATATCCCCATAGAGTTTTGCTTCAAATGACAGCAGTGGGGTCAGGTCAGGATCTTGTGGTGGGGAGCTCCCCAGAAGGAACACCATACGCACTTCGAGTCCATTTGGATACGTCATCTCTCGGCCCCACGTCTCTCGCACTGCCTGCCTCCGCTCAAAGTTTCTGGGAGATGACTTGATGGCAAAAAGCAACAAGGTGTGGCTCTCCGTCTTCCTTTTACTGAAAGCACATTTGTTGGGCTGATCAATCAGAATTGGGGCAGTCCTGCAGTTCATCCCCTCCAGAAAATCCCAAAATTGGACAGGGTAGGAGCTGAAGTCATGCACGTTGATTTGCAGAAACTCTTGATTTGTCAGCCTGCAGTTAGACCAGTTAGAGTTTTGATTGAATGGGTTTCCTCCCTTGTCCAGATTCATCAGGGCTGAGTACAGTAAACGGTTCCAGTAAGCTCTGCTTTTAGGAATGGTCTGTCTGAAGCCAGCTGAAACATTGTGTAAATGAACATGCCTGGTAATGCCCTTCTGTTGGGGAAATTGTGTTCTTACACTCCGTAAACTGTGGGTGGTCTCCACCTGGACAGTCATGTAGAAAACGATTAAAATTAAAGAGAAGAAAAGAACCATAACGCTGAATGTCTGAATACGCGTAATTGACTTGAGGTAAGTAAGCAAAGCTGCGACTTGTGCCATTCTAGATATGAGTCATCTTTCATGGGGACTGGAAAATATGCTGTATTCCAGGTTACACCAACTCAGTAGGTTACAAACGGGAAGTACCTGTCAACAGGGGGCAAAAAAAGCAATATTACATCAGAAACTAAAAAGGGCCCAACCTCAAAAGAAATGCATTCACTCTTTAAAAATAGAAATGTATATAGGGCAGCTTATTTGAATTTTTTAAAAGGCAGATTTTGAAGAAAACACAAAAATGTTAAGCTAGAAATAGAGTAGAAGACTATGATGGAGTTTTGGTCTAATCTTGATAACATATTTTAAATGCTGAGGTGACACAACAGGATCGTTAGCCTCAGTGACATAATTACTAATTATACTTCTGTCAGCAAATTATTACCTATTAAAGATCACAGCATCATGATGTAGTTTTACTAAGTTAAAAATTTGTTACTTATACAGCACAGATTCACAAAAACAGTCACCTCCATGTTTGTTTGTTTTTCCATAGGCCTAACTTCAAAAAGTATGATAGGCTAGAGGCTGGGGCCATAAGATCATTAGTAATCTAATGCAGTTTCTGTAATACAATGAACTCTTAATGCTGAATAAAACACTTCAATGTAAGCAGATTATCCCAAATTATGCATTCGTGAATAAATTGGAATTTACATTTCCCAGCTGGAATTTGAATTTGAATGTGACCGCCCCCCGTCTCGGATTTGCGAGACGGGGGGCGACCCCGAGTTAACCCGAGTTAATGATTCAAGTAGCGACAGTGAACGTGGACAATAGAAAAGCTGTAAACGTTTAATGTGTACTGCCACCGTTGTGGATTTATGACTGCACTGAACAGCCTGGCCATCGCTGTTTTAAAGCGCAAAAATCAAGTATTGTGTTGTGTTGCCAGTGATGCTTGAATGGCTCTTCCTCGCTAATCATGCGCGCGAGAGTGACGTCCCTCCCGAGTTCCGATTAATCCAACGCGGAAGTTGAATTTGCAAACATTTCGTGGGATTTTTTTCAAACAAGGAAGAGTGAAAAGCGGCTTAAGGCAGAACATTATATAACACATCTGTTTCCCCTGAATCAATCTATAAATACAAATACACACACATTTATTTATTTATTTTATTAAAGTACTTATTTAGTTCTACTTCCTAATCGACTTACCAGTGTTCAACACAGTTGGATAACCAATTAAACGGCAGTTAAATTAAGAACACCTCTCCAATCCACGTATAATATCAGTGCAAGTGTGTACTGTTAAAACATATTTCTAAGGATATCCAACTGACAAAGTAGCTTGTAGCCGAATCTGCTAAAAAATGCACCTGCGAACATGTTTGCTCGCCGGTTTTTAATTAGAGGCGAGCAGAGATATAAAGGAGAAACCTAACAATTAAAAATGCCTTAAAGGACTTCCTCTCTTTTTCTTTCACGCGAGAGCCTTTGTTTCGTAAGCACAAGACTAACTTTGTACGTTTGACATTTTTAATTTTAATTTATGCATGATTTGGTTCAATTGTTATATAACTGCGCAAACTTTACACCTAAGCGGAAGACAACCCCTTAAAAACAAAAAAAAGTGAAACCAATGATAAATGAGTTGCGGAAAATACTTACTGATCGGATTACTGTAAAGCAAGAGGAAAAAATCTAATTAGTTTCCAAGTGTCCTCAGGTACCGCAAACAGATCCGCAGGAGCGCAAAACCTGATCATTTAGCTTTGCAATCCTGTTTCTGTTCAGCAGGCGAGGGAGAAATCCCACTTAATGCAGGTGCAGGACTGTATGAGATCAAGTGTTCCCTTCCCACATGTTGAAACCACGCCCACGAGACAGGTTTGTTCAAACGTTTGACCGGAAACATCACAAATAATTTAAGACCAATTGTTCACTGACAAAATCATCTGGATACATGAGCACATTGTTCAGATCACTAGAGCTCTTTTTTTCTTTAATATATTGCATCTCTGCAGGCGTTAAAAACTGTTTGTTTGTTTTTGTTGTTGTTTTGTTTTTCCTTTTCAGCCTGAGCCTAAGACAGAAAAACACAACTCAAACATTAAGAAAAAAAAAAATACACTCTTACACTCCTACACGGATGGAAACCATGCAAATGCTCACAGAGTTGAAGGACATCCATCACCTTCTTTTATGGAAATTTTGTTAAACTTGCTGTTAATGGATATGAAAACAATTAGCAAATTAATTACTTGTGTTTATAAAAGCATGCTTTATAAATCTTCATCAAATCAAGTCCAAATCCTGAGAAATTTGCATCATAAGTCAGAGGGGGTATATATTCAATGGAAAAACCTCAGACAGACACTCTTGGCCTCTGCAGCTGAGATCAAGCACTATTTAATTAGAGGCGCTCTCCTTTGTCAAAACAGTACACATATGCATTCAAAATCACCAAAGCAAATTTGAGCCTTTATCAATATTGGCATTTTGGTTTTGGTTGGTATTGGTATTGCAGCACAATTGTGAATAACTGAACTATTTCTGGGCCAATACCTGATTCATAATAATACACAACTTACATACTGTGTGAAGCCTGCACTCAGAAAGGTAGTGTTCAGCGGATAGAATTTGAGGGGGGAGGTAACAATGTTTAAAACAATAACAATAATAATATTTTACAGTTTTACAATCTCATTGTACTATTATACTACGGTATGTATGACTGTGCAATGACAATAAAGGTTTATCTTATCTTGTCTCATCGGTATGGATGCTGATAAAGCATCCATACTGTAGTATTGTTCTTCAAATCTTTATTATTTATTAATTTGTTTATTATATCATTTATTTGATCCATTTGCAAAGGCAAATTAAACTCCCTCAAAAACAACTTATTTTTGTATACATTTCAGATAAAAATAGGTTTGTTTCTCCGTGTTGACATCTGGTCTGGACGTCATTATAGGACGGAGTAAACCCACTGTCAAAAGCAAAAAGCATTGAAGCACTGCACATACTGGTGACAATAAAAGGGAGTAGAAACTTACCAAACTTATTTAGTGTCAGCGGACCGGTTTGACAACCTTTCATATGATCACTATGTACGGTAGTTAGGAACTGATATAAGGGGAACTGATTCAAATACACATTTCAGTCAAGGTACACTCACAGACAAATCTGACCCACTGTACTCATTGCCATTCCCATAATGTTGCTTACTTTATGTGCTACTAGACAAAAACACGTATAAGGAAGAAACAGAAATCTTCTCAGAGAAATCCTCTTTTTATCCTTCCTTAGGTCCTCAGTGTGTCACAACTTGATTGTGCCCTTCCAGTTTCTACACCTGCTCAGCCTCCACCTTCATACAACAGTTTACGTAGCAGTGATTGATAATCCTGGAAGGCAGCTTTTATAGCCTCTACCACCATACAACAGAGTTGGACAGCATGTGGCATAGGCGGATTGTTGTAGCAACTCAGTAACAACCAGAACATTTTTACCACCGGGGGTTTCACATCAACAAGTTTTTCTCCCATAGTCAACCACACGCGACAACAATGTGCAGACCCTCCAGCTGACCCCTCGAATGTTAATGGCTCAGGTGGCAGTGGCTACTGAACAGCCCATTCTGGTTTTTAGACTTTGGTTAGTGCCACAAATTTAAAAGTCATGATTCATTTGCCGCACCCAAAGGACTCAAGCAAGACACTGTTACCTGCAGAGAATTTAACCCTACTGTGGCTGCTGGCTGCTGGTGCTAAACGCAGGGAGCAGCAAACTGGATTTTCTCTCTTGTTGTGCACACAAAAAGAACTGTTCAGTTGGTAGCGCTATCAATAATAGCACCTTTAGTTCTATCACAGGAGGAAGCTGCAGCTATTCCAGCCCTTCAAGAAGTCCTTAAGACACTGCAGGCTCAAGGTAAATATGATATAGACCTCACTGATTACCCCAAAATGTGATTATAGGCCTCACCAACAACAATAGCCATTAAATTGCCTTTTCCCCCTACTATTATCCCCATTTTTGGGTCTTTGAGGGAAGCAGGATTGATCGTTCCACGATCAGTCCGGCTTCCAATGTTCCAAATCCTTACACCATCTTTTCTCATCTGCTTCCTGATGTTTGCTGGTTTTCTCTGGTTCTTTTATCTGGGACGCAGTATTCATTTACCTTAATCTTAAGGGGAAAGGTTACACACACACACTTGCCTGTGTCTCGGCTACTGTGAGGCTCCCACCTTTTACAACGATTTGAGTTCAGAATCACTGCAACTGATGAGAGACAAATCACTTCAACTCTCTTGTTGTATTTTGAGAATTTAATCTGCAGCTCAAATAAAAAAAAAAAAACACTGTGATGTTGACATTGTGATGTTACAGATGAGACACAAAGTCTGTCTTTCTAGACTTAAGCAACAGATCAACTTTTTGGGTCATGTGATCACAGCTAAGGGCAACTCCCGTTCACCCAATTGTGTTGAAATGATTCATAAAATAGCAAAACCTGTAACGAAGAAGCAAGTGTCTTTTCTAGGAATGTGCTTCTAGTCTCTCACATTTATCCCCAACTATGTTGTTTTGGAAACACCACTTTGCACACTATTGTGCATGGGAAACTGAGCAAGCTTTTTTTGTTTAATTTAAAACTTCAGTTCATTCAGAACAGAAGTCCACAATGTTGCCTGCTGCTGGAGAAGGGAAGAAGCATAATTGTGTTTCTGTGCTAAATGAAGCATGTTCCCCTCACGCAGTTCTCTCTGAGACACCTATTGCCTTTAAACCTGATTTTGTTATTATTGTAGATTGTTCACCATCTCGACATCCAGCCACTGGTCAGAATCCAGTGAGCTATGCAGTTTTCACACAGTATGGAGTTTTTAAATCTGGTTATTCTGCCTTCTTTATGTAAGCCTTGCACACTGCTGAGTTGGTTGCCCTCACTGAACCTTGAAAACTGGCTAAAGTTAAAACAGCGTCAACACCACTACAAAGTGGCTTCACTGCTAGATCCTGTCCTTCTGCCAAAGGCTGTTGCTGTGTGGCAAGCTCACACTAGCAACCCTAACCCAGTTTCTACAGGGCGGATGTAGTTCCTTGAGCAGGAGCTGAGCAGGAGGTGACACGTACACATACACACGCGCGCGCGCGCGCACACACACACGCACACACACGCGCACACACACACACACACATAAAACTCCTTGAAGAGTAACAAGGAGTTTGTTACTCTTGTTTCTATGCAACAGGTTTCAACAGGTTTCCACTGATGCTTGTCACTCTTCGTGACAAACAAGGAGTTTGTCACTTGAAGAGTGACATATCTCCCTCCCTCCCTGCTATGCAACAGGTTTCCACTGATGCAGAGAAACAGCTTTGGAAGAAAAAACATGGCTGCGTTTTTCAGGATGGTATCTGGCACGGGCCTAATAACAAACCATCTCTGCCTATACATTTTTTCTCCATAATGCTGAATTGGCCAGAATGTTTGATTCGATTTAACAAAACCGATTCACTACAGGCTTCAATACTTACACACCAACGTTTTAGCAGTCTTTGTGCCTTTGTTTGTGCAACGTATAATTCTAGGCGAGGCACACCACTACCCTAATAGGCACACCCAATTCTTTTTTTTCTTTTTTTTTTTTTTTTTTTTCCTCTAAATGGCACACCCAATTCTGATAAACCATTTTGATATGTGATGATTGATCATTTTTTTAAAGTATTAATATGTGGAAAGCACATCCCATAGGAGAGATTTAAGAAAAAAATTCAATTTTGTGAAATCAGTTGACTCAAAGTCTTCTAGACATCCAAAGTTTCAGCAAACGTGTGCATCCAAACTAAAAAAAAAAAGTACTAAAACTAAGAATATTTTATTTTTAGCTAGTTTTCCAGATTCACAAAATCATTTTAGCTAGTTCTTAGATTTGTTTTACTTAACTATAACTATCCTGGTGCTGCAGTTTCCTCTTCACAATGCCCAGTGTAATGTAAATAAAGAGCAGCAGGAGTATGAGTCCAGCTTTCTGACAAATGAAGAAACTAAATGAAATGTAGAGAATATATTGTTAGTGCCCACACTGTGTGGTGTTGTATAAGATGCATTGCTTATCCTGGCAGAGTATGGGGATCATATTGTTGGTAGTTGCCTGCTTTGCTCATCATCAAGGTCTTTTGTGTTTCATATCATCAGAAATTATATAAATTCTGTAAATCTAACATAGCTGTGAAGAAAACAAGTTGCATTTGTTTGCATGAATTTTATTGTGACTTGGGTACATTCATTACTTCTGTGTGGTGATAGAAATACAATAATGACATTTTTAGTGTTTCAAAGCAGCAGAACTTGCCTTAAGGCATCATTGCCTCTGAGGTAGCATGTAAAACATATGAGATATTAAACTGTACCGGTCCTTTAAAAATCTTAAATAGTAAGAAACATTTGAAATGATACTGATCTGAATTGAAAGATTAAGAACGTTTATTCTATATTTCGGTTTAACCCCCCTGTTGTTCTGGGGTAATTTCTGACCCCCAAAGAAATCTTTTGCCATCAAAATGTGTTTTTTATTCATCAAATGGTCTGAAAATAAGTTGTTCAATACTATGCTATGCATGATTAGAATAAGTTTTGTATATTTTTATTGGTTTATGGGTTTTTTAATTGAATCTAATAACACCTGTTGTCCTCTGAGGACAGTACAAAGTGGTGCAAAGGGTCATATTGTCACACCATACTGCCTTCAAACATCTTTGATCTTGGATCATTGATGTGTGGGGTCAAACAGTGGTCATAACAACAACAAAACAGGCAGTATAATGAGGAGGCAGGTGCTCTACATTGCACTTGAGGCTTGC